ATGGCTCAATGGTCACCTTCTCCATGAGGTCATTCCTTACTCTCTACCTTTCTTCTTGTCCCCTCCAACAATTCTCTTTAGTTGACTTACTAGATATTTTACTCATTAACGTATTTGTTTTTTCCTGCTTCTCCTCAGGAGAATGTAAGCTCCAAGAGGCAGAGATTGTTGTTTCTTTTGTTCACTGCTGACCATCTTAGTCCAGAACAGAAGGCACTCAAATATTTATGGAATGAATGAACATCCACAGTCTCTCTTACTCATCAATAAGCTTTGGAAAATGGAAAGAATATTTAACATGCAGCACTAAACTAAGTACAATGGCATTTAATTCTGGAAGTAAAATAAATCTCTCTTTTGAGATTGTTGGTAGGGACATATTTCTATAGTAATTACAATTCTTATAACAATATATTTCATCAACATTTATTTAAAAGTAAAATATTTCTGTGGATGAATGATGGGTTGGATATAACATGTTGGTAATGAGGCTACTCAGACTTGCTTAATCCATTGATCAAACTTCTCAGTGGTACAGTTCCATCGCTTGCTTCTGCTTGTTTTTGCCATTATTCTATAATGTAAAATGTCCTTTTTTCACTGTGTAGCACCTAGAACATAGTAGTCACTCAATAAACATTTCCTGAATGAATTAATGAAGAAAAGGTAGTTTCCTTGAGAGCAGGAATTCTGTTAAAAATATGTAGTGATCAATAAATATTAGTTAAATGAATGAAGATGGTGATCAGTAAATGAAGGTCACTGAATAACAGTAACTAGCAGATACATCACTTTGTATATGTGGTCAGATTATTCCATCATGTGATAAAAAGGGCACTACAGAACCATGGAAATGTTAATAATTTGAAAATTATAGATTTAAGTCTATGTTCATACATGAAATAACATCAGTTTCTATTTCTCAATTCTGTCTGGTAAAGAAAAGCAACATCACCAGAGATTGAGACCATTTCTGTGCTGAAGCAGCACTTTTTCTAAGTAAAAGTATAGAATGAGTAGGATGAGGAATTCTAGAATCTGTAAAAAGATGAATGTGACTATAAGACAGTTTTTATTAGATATAAAATGAGTTAATAGTGGTGATATTAAATTCAGGCTGACTTCCAAAAATTTCCCTGCCATTCCTTCACTCATTTGTTCATCTATGCTTCCACCAAGTATACACTGAGTGTCTATAAAGTGCTGGAGCCATTTTAACAAATAGCCATGTATGCACCAGCTAGCCACTTCTGTGACTTGCTGGAAGCTAATTATTAAGTGTATGCCTAATCTGGTGCCCCCTGATGAACACCACTGATGTTCACGACGTAAAGAATTATTGAATATAAACCAAATTGTTCCGGGCAGAAGAGATGTTTATTATAAAGGTAACTGGCCATTACTACAATTGAGTTATTTCCATGGGAACAAATAAGAGTTCAGAAATTGTATGAGATGAAAACAAAGGTAAAAGTAAATTATTATTTAGATAAGCACAACATACATGAGGTGAAAGATCAAGGAACACAGGTAATGTGTTGACGATCCCAGCAGCAAGTGGGGAAACTATCAAAGAATAGGGGGATAAAATGAAAGCACAAAAAAAGAGTGTAGAGAACTCACTTCATCATAATGGAGCTATCATTAAGTCTGATAATGACGAGAAGGTGTCCCCAGTCAGTAACACAATTTAGTACTACTTTAAATTGTTATTCTTTTTCTAGGCATTTTTTCTGGGGAATGAGATTGGTGCCAGTGCTTATTGATTTCCTTTGCAAGACACTGTTTAACCTCAACAGGAACAAGGCTCAAGTATGTTTCCTCAGGTATTCAAAGAATCACAGGGAAGACCCAAGTAGTTTACAACTACATATCTAATTCATTTTGATAATTAAAATTGTCAATTGACACCTAATGCACTGGTCCTTGTAGTCTGCTCTAATCCTAGCTCTGGTTATAAACATGCCTCATTCTTGTCCTCAGGGGGTCCAGGTGGTTTGCCACTTCTAGTTCATCAAGGATATCTCTGATATTTATGCTATCTGTGATAACAGTCTCTATATACTGAAGGGGAGTCATTTGCATGTAGTTATAGCTACTGCACCTTGAAATCACTACCTTGCCGTGTACTGAGCTCTTCTCCGGGATGACCTTTCAATATTTGATTGTAAGTGTCATAGGAGATGCCTAGATCAGAACTCAGTGCAGCCTCTACAAAGAAGGTAGATCCTCCTGCCCTGTTCCATCAGAAAGAAGAAACTGAGACATTATAGGATGAAGGAAGGAAATCATGGCTGGCAGTGGAACTAAGAGCTGACAGACCATGTCTAAACTCAAGAAGGTGAAGTCTTCATCCAGCAATTTGCACTGAGGAAATGGAACAAGGATTTTAAAATTTGAAGCACAGCCACATGAATATTGGTTCCTGAGAATAAATAAGCCATTTTGCATACAAGAAACAAAAATAGAGAGCCTATTTTGGCAAAGCCAGCCCTGGTGGTCTAGTGGTTAAGATTCGGCACTCTCACCACCGTGGCCCAGGTTTGTTTTCTGGGCAGGGAACCACACCACCCCTCTCTCCGTTGTCACACTGTGGCAGCTGTGTGTTGCTGTGATGCTAAAAGCTATGTCACCAGGATTTCAAATACCAGCAGGGTCACGCATGGTGGACAGGTTTCAGTGGAGCTTCCAGACTAGGGCAGACTAAGAAGGAGGACATGGTCACCCAGTTTAAAAAATAATTGGCCATGAAAACATTGTGAATAGCAGTGGAGCATTGTCTGATACTCCACCTGAAGGTGAGAGGATGGCGCAAAAAAGCACGGTTCTGCTTTGCTGTCCACAGGGTAGCTAGGAGTCAGAATCCACCCGATGGCACTAACAGCCACAAATTTTGGCAAAGCCTCAATGTAATTAATCATAATTAATTACATATTTTGGAGAAAATAAATGCAGATGGACCTTGAATAGTTCAGTAACTTTACTGAATTCTCAACCAATATTCAGAAAAAAATAAATCAGAACACAGGAAAACCACAAAAGCTATGAATCTAACTTTTCTATCCTATTCTCACTTAATTAAAGCAGCAACTTCACCCACGTCATCCAGGTGTTGAACTATCAAATTGCATATCACACAACTACTATGGACCAAGCCCTTTCTTGTTCTATGAGTTCTGAGAATTCTAAAGAGTTCAAAGTTGATGATTTTACAGTATCACTCATAGGTCGTTCAGTTTCCTTCTGTGATGTGTTTCATATTTTCCTTTAATATTAAGCGAATCCCATAGCCATTGTGCTGAATTGTCAGTTTAGTTCCACTTCGGCTCAATATCTATGAAATGAAGATTTGTTCTTATAAATGAGTTAAGTAACTTTCCATGTCTTTTCCTGTAGAGTATTAGCCCTCTGAATGTTTCTATTTCAATCTACATAATCTTTATTTCCTTTGTCTTTCCTAATTAATTTAATATAGCCACCATCTACCAGAATTTGAAAGAAACACATTTCCAGTGATATGTATCTCTACTGTAAAAATAAATAAGTATACATATTCTTGAGGGACAAATCAGAGAAAACTAGACAAAATTAAACCTCTTACAAGATTAAGGAAGTCTCAATTTACAGTCTTGCATCCTAAAATGCTTCTGCTTATGATTTTAAAAGGGGGGAAGAAGGCAATGTAGTGAGATTCATTGCATCTCCTAAAAAGACATCTTCAAGTCCTAACCCCTAACATCTGTGAATGATCTTGTATGAAAACAAGGTCTTTGCAAATCAAGGTAAGATGAGGTCATACTGCATTAAGATGGGCCTTAAATCCAATGACTAGTGTCTTTATAAAAAGAAAAAAAAACAGAGGGCTATTTGGACACAGTGACTCAGGAGAGGAGGTAATGTGTGACGGAGGCAGAGACTGGAGTGACACACTTATAACCAAGAAACGCCAAGGATTGCAGGGGTCCCAAGAAGCTGGAGAAGCCAAGGAAGGACTCTTCCTTAGGGCCGACAGAGGGAGCAGGGCCCTGCCAACACCTTGATTTCAGGATTCTGGCCTCCAGCACTGTGAGATAATAAATTTGGCTTGTATTCAGCCATCAAGTACATGGTAATTTGTTATAGCAGGCACAGGAAACTAAGACGGACAGCATGGCCCATGGAGAAAGGACAGACTTTGGACAATGATCTTGAGTTCAAATCTACAGCTTGTTTTTTGGCCTATGGCAAGTTGCTTAATATCTTTGAGCACCAATTTGCTTGTGTGTAAAACTATGAGATCTTAACATGAAATAATGAATGTGAAAACCCAGGCACATCATAGAGAATCATTAAGGAATTAGATTACTTTTACTAACAAAGGAAAAAAAGCAAATCATTCATTCTTACTCTTATATTCCAGTATGTTTTCTAAAAGATCCTGAATAATTTCTTAAAATCTTTGTTAGAAATAAACTCACCAGAAAAAAAATCCCAATCCCAAAATAATTAAAATACAGTGCGAGGCTCAACGTCAGGGCCTAAGCAAGAGCAACAAATAACTCGAATGATTTTTATACTTAAAGTTTTCATTTTCATGTACGCAATGTTGTAGACACTTCTTTGTCAGATGTAAACAAGAGAAGAAGATTTAATATAAGCTATATCTCCTCATTATTGTATGCCTAGTTGTCTAAAAATTAAAGAATGAATTGAAAGAAACAGCAATTATCAAATCATTTTAGTTAGGACTGACTTGCGCAGTGTTGAGGCCTGTAATGTCCAAGAAAAAGGCAAGAGGAGTAGAGATTGGTATGATATCTACACAATTAGTTTTATGGACTATGTGACTCACAACTTTAGTCTCTAATTATCTTATAATTCCAGGCGAATAAGTGATGACATATATACACATTTTTTCTCAACCAAAGCATTACATATTGTGAAATATCATTAGTTAAACATGTAGCCTTTTATATGCCACCAAATCTTCAAATGGTAATAAACTGAATTGCTTTACTTACTAACACAAGCAGCAGGACAATATCAGGGTTATCACACGCACAGGCAATGTGCATTGGCGTCCAAAAGTCTTCATCCTGGTGGTTGACATTGACCCCTCTGTCAATCAGGATCTCTGCAATGAAGGCATTATCATACCGAGCACACTGAAAGAAAAAAAAGGAAATATACTATCATAACAAACTATGATAAAGTTTATTCAAAATTTCCATGGATAGAAAACTTCAATGGCAATTTTGGAAGTTGAGAGGCAGAGCTAAACTGGGAAAGAATGCATTCATGCTCCCCAACTAACCTACAAGTGAAGGGGCCTAGGGAAGAGTCTTCTCTATTTGTGGATAGGATTAAGAAAATCTTGAACTACTTATCAGAATTATCTTTCTAAAATACAGATTTGATCATATGATCCTACAGCTTTAAAACATGCATAGCTTGTCAATTACAAAAGAATAAAGTTTCGCCATTTTATTGCATCTAACAGACAAGACCCTTCACAGTCTTTCCAAACTCATCTATCATCATTCTCATATGTAGCCTTCACACTAACTGCATAAGACAACCAGGAATTCCACAACATGCCATCCTGTGAAAGTTAACTGTGGTAACTAAGGAATCTTCTAACATAAGTTTTAATGATTGCATAATATTGTATTTTATAGATATTTCATAATCCACAAAATCAAACTCTCCAGGAGCTTATTTTGTTCTTATTTTTATTTACTATTTATAGTTAAGATTCATAAAAATAGTATATGTATAAGTCAGGGCTGGCTCCATGGGTGTACGATCTATAAAGTTGTGCTTAGAAGGGTCTTGAATTTGGCTTAATGCTCTGCTGTCACCATCTTGAATTTTTAATAATTTTTGGAGTCCCACATACTCTCTTTGCACTGGGCCTTACAAATTAGTCCTTTATAAGTCATTTTCATATTTATATCTATAGGCTACATTAATGTTAAATGCAATTAGTAAAATCAGTGGAAAAAAAAAAAGACCTATTATAGGTCAAATGTCTACCAGTGAAATTTCTGTGTTGAAAGATATATGCTTTTTATAGGATTTGAATGCATAGAACCAATTTCCCTCCCAAAAAGAAGTACCAATCAATACTACCGCCAGAGGTACTTTCATATCAATTTATTTACCCACGTATTCATTGGATAGTATAATTAAAAACAAATCATTAGAGGACTTCCACTTTTCAGTAACAGGGACCAGATTTACATTCCCGCCTGAATCAACTAAAACAAAAACAAAACCCATAGACAAAATAACGACCTCTGAGAAGTGGGAAGAAAACCAGCAGCCCCACTGTTCTGTGGCCCCAGCTTACTGCGTGGGGGCCGTTCCCAAGCTGCAGCACAGGAAGGACAATCCCAGGCAACTAGGGCCACTCACGAGCAGACCGAACTGGAAGTCCAGAGGGACCAGGTTGACTAGAAGGCACAGGGCAGAGCAGCAGAGAGCACAGAGCTGCACAGAGAGAGAATTCAAACACCTGCGGAAGGCCCCCTCCAGTACCCAGCTGAGTCATGATCAGCACATACATTCTAGGACACCACGGAAGGCCAGGGAAAGAACCCCCTGAAAAGGAAGAGGACTCAGAGCTCATAAATTGCCAGAAATAGTGCCTATTTCCACCAGCCAGACTGAAAACCTCATAACTGATGGGGCATTGGGTAGAGTACCAGACATGTTTTGTCTCCATGGTGGGGACACTTTAGCCTTAAACTAAATGTTGCTCTGTTCCCACCTAAAAAATATTAAATTTAAGTTCTGAAAGGATCTGCCCCCAAAACAGAGTTCAAGATTATTTATAGAAATACAAAAATGTTCATTACCCAAAAAGGCAAAATTTACTATATCTAGCGTCCAAGACAAAAATTACCAGATATACAAAAAAAAGCAGAAAAATAGGACCCTCAATGAAAAGAAAAAATGATCAGTGGAAACCAACTCAGAAGTGATACACCTGTTAGAATGAGAATCTGGGTATTGAAATTGTTGTATTATATATTATAACTATATTCCATATGTTCAAAAAGCTAGGGGAACTATTGAACATAGTAAGCAGAGAAATGGAAGATATTAAAAAGGCTCAAATTTAACTTCTAGAGATGAGAACTACAGCAGCTGAGATGAAAAACATGCTAACGGGTGGGATTATCAACAGACTAGACATTGGAGAAGACAAGGTTAGTGAACTTGAACACAGTGATATAAATCACATAAAATGAAACAGAGAGAGAAAAATGACTTTAAATAAATGAACAGAGCATTAGTGTACTGTGGGAAAACTTCAAACAGACTAATAACTGAACAGATCGATAGGATGGAAATGGGAACCACATGGATAAATGCATGTTTTCTTATTATTTAATTATCTTTAAAATTAGTAATTAGAAGGCAACCCAATTTTAAAAATTAAGCAAAAGATTTGACCTGATACTTCACCAAAAACAAGATATATGAATTGTGGTTCACAATCCTAACATAGTCATTGAAGAATATTCATATCTTTCTCCATTCCCAGAGAGTCTCAAGAATGTACAATAATTACAACGCAAAGTCATGGTGTGAGTTCCATAAGGAGGAACGTGTGAGCAGGCTTCGGTCTAGGGATGCAGGGAAGCACTTGGGACAATGGCTAACATGAAGTTTGAGGGATTAATTTCAGTTTTGAACTAAAATCTTTGTGCATCTCAGGTTTCAAGTCAGTGTAACCATAACAAAGGGTCCCTACCATCAGGGCCCGAGGGTATGAACTCTGACCCTACTCACAGTCTCTGCAGGTTTGGGCGCAATGACTGATAAGGTAAGAACCAGAGTGTGAAAGCTCAATAAATCCGTTTTAGGATCTGGGGCCTGGATCCAATTTGTTTTAGGAAATTCATACATGAGTAATTCTTATTGCACTCTCTGTATCTTTTTGATAGCTCACTGCATAATCAACAAGGATGTGACCTCCTCTTCTGTGCCTGTCGAGATATCCTCAACCCGCACATCAGGAATCCACATTTACAATTCAAAGCTACGTAGGGTTTGGCTTTTCAGGGTCTTTTACCAAAAAAGAGTTAATTAGACACAATGTTGAAAGTGATATCAGTCCCTCTCAAGTGATGTAATTTTTAGATTCACATTTCAGAAGATTATGAATAATAATTTGACAGCAATAAAGACCTTCTAATCTCACTTGTCTGAAAAGATTATGATGGCTGAACATTCCTGTTACAAAGCTCTTACAATATTATGGTTAGATAGTAAACCTAACTTTCCCGGAAAGAATTTTCTTCAAGCTAGCAAATCCACCTCCCAAATCAGGTTGTTCTTTATGACTGTATCCAATTTCTGGTAACACTTTATAGCACCAGAAAAATGGCTGAACTCCCACTTTGTCACCCTCAACAGAACTCTGACACCACCAGTTGTCTCCGCCTGAAGACTGGAGCCAAATCTCTCAGCTCTTCATGTCACCATCCTCTACCTCTCAAAGGGCCAAGTGGGACTAGCTATATCATTTGTGGGACCCAGTACAAAATGAAAATACGGGGCCCCTTATTCAAAAATTGTTAAGAATTTCAAGATGGTGACAGCAGAGCATGACACCAAACATGGGCCCTTCTAAGCACACAGCCCTGTGTGACTGCAGGAGCCACACGCCCAGGAAGCCTGCCCTGAATTGCCAGGCCCCTAATCAACCTGCCTTCCAGGTTCCCTCATGCTCACACATTACTCTTCCTTCCACCGAACCTCTGGGACCCAGTCCATTTCAAATAAACTCTCCTCATCTGGAAATGTCCAGAGAACCTAAATGGAAATCTGTCTCCCTGGAAACACCATCTTTCCTGAAGCCTTCCCCAGTGTAGATAAAATTGTTCTCCCGTCAGACCCTGAAAAAGCTTGGCTGTTTTCTGAGCTTACTCTTGATTCTTCTAGAATCACTGCACATTCACCTCAATGTCCTTCTTTCTAAGATTCACTCTACCTTATGTTCTACTCTCTTCTCCAAACCTGGTCACTGTCCTCTTTCATCAAAGCCTTAGGGACCATGATCACAGCCTTCACTCCAACCTGAGCACCATCAACTGACGAGGCATCAACAACATTGGGTTACTCACCCTATGTGAGAGCTTAAAATATCTCCCCTGCAGTACTCCAGTAATCTTAGCCTACGTTTGACTTTAGTCACCCACTCCCCCCAGCTTGCCATCACCAAGATTGGCTGCACTTTGAAATACTAAATTCTAATATCCTGATCTATCACCAAAATATTTCAGTTTGCCTCCTTAAACATACTTAGAGAGCAACATGATGAATAGCTCCTTCCTACAAGACTGTTCATGGAAGGGACTAGGATTAGAAAGTGACAACTAACACTTTCAACACTAACTCAGCAGTTCACAGCTTCTCTGGTAATGCATTCTTTCACTCATTTTTAACTGTTTCTAAACAAAGGTGATATTTCTCAATGTATAAACCCAATACAATGTGCATTATTGATGCAGTTGAAAAGACTCTGAAAGCCATAGAAACCAAATGACAAAGAGAATTTTTAACTTAAAATGTGTTGTCTTTTCCCTATATCTTGTCATAAGAGGTATTTTATGTTTTTTAGTTCTTCTGGTTGGCTAAAGAGCATGTCCTGAACAACACTGAAACTCGCTCTCGCAGAAAATCAAAAGCTCTATGAACATTGAGTTCACACATCAAATTCCATGGTTCATGCATGAAAGTCATCTTTTGATAGTTTTTTTTAAACTAGGGTCAGATCTACTATACCACGAGTTTTCTCAGTGTTTATATATTTCCAGTGCAAACTTCCCTTTTACCTCTCTGTGTTGATTACAAAGCCATTGGGCAGAGGAGCCTAGCAAAGAGGTACTGGAACAGGATCCAATTTGCTCTAGATATCATCTACTGCGTGGACGTCCTGTGCCAAGCATAGTTCCACTAACAAACAACAAAGAAAATCATCTCTGAACTCTCTTAAAATTGGGGGAGGAGGGGAGGCAAGATGATTTACACGATCAATTTGGATTAGCCATTGTCCATTTTCTAGTCCTGTTTTTATGGGTTCTCAAAACTTGTCTACAACCAGAGAGTGACAGTGAGAGAGAGAGAGAGACAGAGAGACAGAGACTGAGAC